AGAAGAAGAAGAAGAAGAAGAAGAAGAAGAAGAAGAAGAAGAAGAAGAAGAAGAAGAAGAAGAAAAAGAAGAAGAAGAAGAAGAAGAAGATCAACATTTAATGAAGATGATGATAATTATGATGATAATAATACATGGCATTTATATTAAGGACATTTTCATAATTTACAGTGCTCAATGTGCTTTACAAAACATATTCGTAGCTTACAAAGACATAAAAATACATGCAGCATTCATGTCCATGGGCATTCATGTACACTTAAGTTTGTGTTTTCAACATGAATGATAGCTAATATAATTTGTTGACACCCACTGACTGTATAAGTAAACCTTTTGCATAAATTCTGGGTTTCAATTATCTTCATTGTGAGCTAAAACATGACACAAACTCTGTTGGCAGAACCTTTTTCTATTGTGCAGCAATGTACCAAATTTCCACAAGTACTGCATCTTTGAAACTATGTAATACACAGAAAGAAACAAATAATAAAAAAACAAACAAACAAACAAAAAAGCAAAACAAAACACAAAAAGCCCCCCAAAAAAAACAGAACTTACTTTATTTCTGGACAACCTGAGAGCGTTTGGCTGTTCGTTGACATCCAGGACCTGCACAATAATGTCCTTCTCCAAGAACATGGGAGGCTCCCCACTGTCTGTGACCTTCAACCTGATGCTGATTTCTCGTGTCCTTTCATAATCCAGACTGGCGGCTGATGTCGTCTGCAAATATTCAACCAGAGTCAAGGGTTAAGGAAATAGGTAAAGTATCACTGATCTTATATGAAATCTACAGAGCTTCATACTACTTTCTTCAAACTGTGAAAACTGCTGTTGACTATTCTATGCAGCTGTCATAAGTCAAACTCACAAGGAACCAACTGTTTCGTCATGAAGGAAGAATTGAAAAATATAATACAAAAGATTTGTTACCTATAAAAACATTACATTTTTTAGGAGAAAATATTGTATCAAATAGAAATTTCTCATCACAAAATGTACTACAATTTAAATATTCAATTTCACACACACTTACACAATCACCAAAAATCATATACTTACATACAAAACACAAGTATGTGCACAAATATGCACTAATGCATACACTTGCTTTCCATCTCTCTCTTTTTCTTTCTTTCTTTTCTTTCTCTCTCTCTCTCTCTCTCTCTCCCTCTTTTTTTCTCTCTCTCTCTCTGTCTCTCTCTCTCTCTCTCTCTCTCACCCTCTTTCTCTGTATCTCTCCCTCTCTCTAAATCATAAACACACATACATACTCACAAATATACACATTCACAAACACACACACACACACATACATATACTCATTTAAAAGCTTAGTAACTTGATCTAATCCTATCTCATCCCCAACCTTCAGCAAATTGCCAGCAGTGTAGAACTGCGAGCTGCCAGAAATGGTATAGGTGAACGTCTGGCCCTCATCCACGTCCTCCACACCTAGAGTGGCGACTGTCTCATCCTGAGAGTTTTCCTTCACTTGGATCATAGTGATGTCCTCACCATCCAAGAGCAAAGCCTGAGAAAAGTATGCACGGACAGTGTCAGTTTAATTATCAATATTTCTTAAACAATACTTAACTATAGTGCTTGAACATGGATCTGACTCGGCCCAGTAACAGAAATATGCAATGTTTGACCCATGATAAGAGATATGTGCACAACCTGTACTTTTTCATTATGGAAACTGTATGTAACAAATGAGTATTTTATACAATGTGATGTGGGCCATTGGCCTTAAATACTGAATAAACTTACTTACTTAAACCATGGATCAGGGTGTGTGTGTGTGTGTGTGTGTGTGTGTGTGTGTGTGTGTGTGTGTGTGTGTGTGTGTGTGAGCGTGCATCAGTATCTGTGTGGTTGAAAGCCGAGGTTGGAGGAGGGGGGAGGTTGAATTAATCATCAACAAACATGCAGGGCCAGTGGCAATTAATGGGGTTTTTTTATTTGACATCAATACATATCCTTTCAATTGATACCTTAGAAAAAAAATTAGCATGCAGCCTTTCAAATACTAAGAACACACATGACTCAAACAACATATGTACAGATGTTTTAAAGTAGTAAAGTCACCAAAATGCCAGTGGAGAAAAGTGGGCCAAACTGGGGAACACATTCTCCAGTAGGGCAGGACACACAGAACCCCTAGACAAGGAACGTGGCCAACTCCATAGACACTAGAAGAGAAGCTGTACAGGCTAACAGATGTATCGAGCAGGATGGCTCAGGATATAATAGATAGTGTGATGCAATCAAGAAGAAGAAGAAGTTATTCAAATTCATTCATGTCACATTGCAGATGCTTGGAGGATGTCACTGGTACGTCTCACTTCTTTTCTTTCTTTTAGTTGTATCTGTCTAACTTTTCCCTGCACTAAACGACTGTCACTGTGTCAACAATCCTCTCTTTGTTAAAAAAATCATAACACATTAAAGAAATTCGAGCACTAATGCTGAAAGCAAGTGGTACACTTACCAACGGTGGATCATTTGTGTCCTTGACCTCAAATTCAAAGGTTTTCTCCAGCTCTAGCCCAGATTTGTCAATGGCTTTCACTGGAAGAGAAAATTTCTTCTCTTCCTCATAGTTCAATGAGCTTCCCAAGTACACACTGGCAACACATCTGGTTCCCTAAAGACAAGAAGTGAATTTTATACAAGTCAACAACAGTACAAATGTAATTTTAACATTGAAATCATCATTAACATTTGAGTATCAAAACTGGTGAACTTAACCATGGTTGAAAACATCATCTGTGGCATTGTTTGCACATGCTGAAGAATTATTTGGTTGAAGCATAAATTCTAAATGTTGAAAAAAACAAGAAAAAAACCAATGTGATTACAATTGTAAAAAAATTGACATTGATTTTTTTTTTCTCTCTCCTAAAACATTTTCTGTCCTGGGTGTATTGCATTTAAACAGCTTGCTGATGACACACAGCTTTTAACACTTTGTGGTTACTTGGCACAATAATGCAACGGTAAAAATTATCCGTTCCGGTCACCTGGCAAAGTTGTGTACCAGGCTCAAGAAGTCCGTTGCAGTCACTCAAATGGCAGAGTGACCAGATGGGGTATTTTGTACTGCTGGCTGTGTGATTGCAGAGCGTTACGGTAAGCCAGTTGATAATTGGAGAACAACACAATAGGACGTTGTGTATCACATTAAATTTAATTAACAAAAAGCTGACTAAACAACCAACCTTTGTCAGGGTCAAACATCCTGGAGCGTCCACCTCAACAGCACTCCCCTCTACAATGACTGAAATGTCCTCGTTCGTGTCTGGGTCAAGGATGACCACTTGGCCGATCAAGGATCCCATCTCTGTGTCCTCACTGATGACAGGATGATCTGTCTCAAAATCTGGGAACTGACTTCCTCTCAGACTCTCCAGAGTCATAGAGTACGGTGGCTCTTCTACATCCACAATCTCAAACTCATACGTTGCTTGGCTCTGTTTGAAAAAAGAAAAAATGACAAATATGAATAATTAGCAGATATACTGCACATATACCCACTCAACAGCAATCTCTATGTGCTTTATAATCATAATTATAAATAATAATAAATAGTAGATATATTGCACTTATACCCGCTCAACAGCAAGCCCTATGTACTTTACAGTGCAAACAGCCGATTAGGCAAACAAATACTAACAAACTGACAAGATCTTTCACTGTTTATAGCAGGGTACTCATTCCCACCTAGGTTGTTGTTGTTGTTGTTAGCGGTCCAGTAGCATCTGAGCATTTACTCTTCTGTATGATGCCATTCGGTAATAGTTGCCTGTCTGTTCTAATTGTCCCCACCTAGGTGAAGTGTGGAAAATTCATGTAAAGTACTTTTCCAAAGGACACAACATCGGAACTCAAACCCACAAACCCTGATTGTGATCCCAGCACTAGACCACCTACGCCACATGTTATAACACAAAAAGTTTGAAGGAAGCACTGAAATTTAAGAAATTAGTTGATAGATAACTAGAGCATCCAGAAACATTATTGGCTTCCTGATCTACACCACAAGCTGAAAGTTCCATGCACTCAAACACTAACAAACTGACAAGATCTTTCACTATCAACTTTAAGGTTGACTCACAGATTTCGGCGGTGTCCCTGAGTCTGTCACAATGATCTCCACAGACACGGAGGAACCCTCCTCATAGTCCACAGGGCCAATCACAATGAGTCTGTCCCCATCAAAGCTAAAGATGTCGGAGCCTGAAAGAGAACAACAAACATGAAATTATCAGAGACCCAAAATTGTTATGATTAAAAATCCTTTTTCAAAGCCCTAAATGAACTCTAGAACACTATATCATGCATGGCTTATCATCTCAGTAAGTATAGGTGAGGCAGCGTGGTGGAATCAGGCGCTTGTCAAAATAATGATAGTGAAGAAACTGGCATTTTCCCGCAGGTTTTGGAACTTTTATCCCATCTTTTGGTTTTGGCTCAAAAATGTTTCAAACCCATTAAAGAACACATTTCTGTATTGATGTTTTACTGAAAAATGTTGATTTAAGGCCTAAAATATGTAAATTTTTAATTACAACGAACTCTCAAGCAAAGGAAGTAACGCTACTTTGGCGCCATTTTTTCACAAATTTTTCTTTGAATCTAGGTGACCCCAATTTCCTTCAATCGCTAATATCTCGACTTCTATTCAAGATAAACGGATATTTTTTACGCCAAATGCAAGGGAAATGAACCACCTTTCAGATAATACCAATAACTCCATATACTCAAAAACTGACGAGTGCTTGATTCCACCACGCCGTGCCACATATATTACTTTAATAGAGAAGCCTCAATAAAAAATAATATTGGTATTAACAGTAGACTATAGTAGAAGTGTAGGGCTTCATTTTCTTGTTACTTTTTTTATTTTTTACATCAATACCTCTTAGATTTTTTCCATTTCTGTCTTCTGAAGTTCCTTCCCTTTAAAACCATACCATTCTCCCCCCCTTCCTCCAGGTTCATCAAGCAAACAAAGTTAAGTTACTCAGTGTTGGCAATCACAGGTCATTGCCATTCTGAAGAAGATATTTTATTCTAGAGATCTTCATTCCAGAACTGAAAAATAAGATGGTGAAATACCTTCATCTCCGACTGAGAAAGTCAGACTTTGATCTTGATCTTCATCCACAGCAAAAACTCTGGTAACTACTTCTCCGTTGTTGATGTCTTCCTTTATCTGTGTCACATCGATAGCTTTCAAAACAGGCCTGTCATTTTCGTCTGTGACCTTCACCTGGAGTGTGAAGGTCGCTGTTTGCTGCGAAGCTCCAGAATCTGCCACAAAGATTTGAATCTCGTGAACAGACTCTGACTCAAAGTCAAGGCCACACCAGGTCTCAGAACACTCAGCACCACGAGCACTAAGCTGGGGAAGGCAATAGATTTCTTGACTTCAAGAGAGTTATTGTGAATTTCATACTCACATTAGTGCAATTATGTAAGGGTAAATCATGGGGTGGGGGAAGGTGGGATCAAACAGTGAGTTAAAAAAGAGAAAAGACAGAGGGAACCCAAAAATATTTCCACAATTCACAATGGCATAATGGTTGATTTGTTCTTTCTGAGGTCATCAGCACATTGGTGCACTAAATCATAAAGCATAAACTCTATGTAAACATTTCTCTGGTTAAGCCTTGATAGAACTTCTAATGGAACAACAATAATCAAAAATATTTCAAACAATAAGAACTTAAAAATGTATCATTCTATTAGACCCTCCTCTGCTTGGCAAGCATATATTCATATTATACTAAACAGATAATAAGTTAGATTCTATTGTAAAGACAAAATTCTTTTATAAATCAAATTCACTCATAAGGAGGGATTGTAAGCTGTTGTTTCCCATTTTAAATAAATGGATTTTACAAATATCTCTGATGTCTCCTAATGCTATCCCTCCCCCTTTATTGGCTCGCAAGATAGTAATAAAAATACCCAACCTCTCTACTGAAGGAAAAGTATACAAAAACATCTACATTATGAATTACATGTGCAATATTGCTGTAATACATACTGCAACCAATGTCTTCTTTCAATCCTTCTTTCTTCATTACAATAGAACCTGTGTAAGACGGCCACCCATTGTCAAGGAGAAAAGTGGCCGTATAAGACAGGTGGCCATCTTAAGCAGGACTGATCATAATGAAGAAAACAAACCATTCCTTTCGGAGGTTCCAACCGAAGGTGGCCGCATTGTGGTTGTTGTTGTTATTATGTTGTTGTTGTTTTCACTGGGTGGGGTCTTTTTTTTTTCTTCTGTTGATACTTTTGTGCGAGGGTGACAATACAACGAAAAGTGTCTTACAAGGAGGACCGAGTGCTATGGTAAAACAAACACATGGGTCACCACCATTCGGAGAACGAGCGATGCTTCTGTCACAAGTTCATGTTGACGTCTATATATAGTTACTTACTAGGTAAACAGTGACCACTCATCTCACTTACGATTTGTGTATGAGTTCTGGGCGGGGCTTATGGGTTATGAGGGATCACACACTTACCTAACCAGCAGCAGGAAATTTGTTACCTATAGGTCAACAGTGGGAGGGGCTTATGCAACATGATCGGTAGGAGGGACTACTTAACAACAACGACAGGTGATTGGATTATGACGGCTCGCCCACAACACCAGGGGACAATGCACAATTTATGACAAAATGTAATGGAGTCACTACGATGGCCGTCTAAGACAGGGGTTATTGCTTGGTGTGATAGGGGTTGTGAGTTAAAATATGGTGGCTGCGGCCGCATTGGACAGGTGCAGGGGGGGGGGGGCGAATGGAAAGTGGCCGTTTGTACGGGTGGCCATCTCATAGAGGTGGCCATCAGGGCAGGTTCGACCGTATTTTTATATAGCACAAAGTGCCCCATCCCCACCCCCCATCTTTGAAATTTACTTACTTATACCTAGATGGGTCGCTGATGCTTCCCAGATGCATACTGAACTTACCCAAACACAAAAGACAAACTCTCTGAATCTGACACAGTTATAAATATTCCACACATTTGAACAGATATCATAATAGACAAGAGGTACAAATAAAAAGAGCAGACCTTGAGAGTATCCTTCTCGAGGAAAAATCTTCCTTCAGCATCATCCAGTAATATGAAAGAAAATGTCTGACGCGAGGCTGAGTCACGGGGCAGGTCCTTGTTGTCTGGGTCATCACAGATCAGCTGACCAATCACAGTGGACTGAGGACTTCCTTCTGGAATCTTTGGGTTGGGGACACCGAAAACACAAAGTTATGATTTTATCATCAGGATCTCTTCGCCTCAGAACTATATTGTTCAAAGTGCACTCTATGGCAAAATGGTGTTGAGAAAATTTGCAGAGAGAAAAAAAGCAGCAATAGTTCATGAAAGGGGTAATGTGTATGCATGAGTTTGTTTAACTATGTGGGAGTGAGAATTTATGAGAGCTTATTCATGATAAAAATTGTGTGTTTGAGTCTGTTATTGTATGTGTGAGAGTTAAGCGTAAACATTAGGAATTCTTCCATCAACACCTCTGCAAAAAAAGAGGAACAACAACAATTCATTAGGAAAATAGTTTGCTTACTGTGTGTAGGGAGACAGGCTGATACAGTTTAAAGTACAAAATTATTTCTCGCATAACTAATCAAAACTAGTTCTATGAAAGAATATAGCCTCTCGTTCAGTAAATCTCATACCTTGTTCTCTGACAGTTTTAGTGCAGTTGGCTGCTCGTTGACATTGACGACGACTCCAGAGAAAACTTTGTTGAAGCTGTTCTGTGTGGAATCACTCACATCGACAGAAATATTAAATGTGCTTTCAGTCTCAAAGTCAATTTGGGCATCTGAAAAACATTTTAAAATATAATAAACAGATGTGAGTCCGGTGACTATAACCTGTAAGCAAGCTTACGCTGCAGAAGCAGGAAGGAAATCTATGCAGAGGCCTTTATAAGTTAAACTATACTCTATTGCTGATGGACCAAGACCAGCTAAAGCATCATATCACTACTAAAGGGCAAATATGTAACATATCAAAAGATGAAAAGATACAAACTCTGAGGCGTATCCTTTAAAAACCTAACAATGAACATTACAAACTCTAAGACCATGAGTTCTGCTCCAATATGTAAGCTCTGTGAAGTTTAGCATTCCGATCTAGGAAATAAATAGCAATATTATATGTGTTCCTAATCCTTTACGGCCACCAGTAATGAACTGATATGATAAAGATGAGATGAAAAAGAAAAAAAATATATCAATAGGGTTCATCATGATTAATACGGAAACAGAAACAAAACTTGACCATTAGTATTTTTGAAGTAACATAAACAGTTGAACCTGCTCTAACAGCCACCTGTAAAAGAAAATCACTTATATATATAATTCAATACCAGTTCTCACTTCTTCACATGCTTTTTTAAAATATCATGACAGTCCAAGACATCCACCTGTCTCAGACAACTGCTTTTATCTTCAACGGTAGATGGCCGTCTCCAATAATTTTGACAGTACATAACTGATCTATAGTAGACAGACCTTTAGTGACAGACAGCTGACCCGAGCTGGACAAAGCAAAGGCTCCCGCTGCAGCATCCACCAGCTGGAAGGTGTGAGTGTCCTCGGCGTCTTCATCCACCACTGTGAACTTGCCCAGGACAACATCCTGACTGTTCTCAGGGACTGAGATGACGTTTTTACTGAACACAATGTCCTGTGGAAGATAAAAAATAGATAAAGGTTCTACTTCATCACTACCTTAGAATTACAAAGTTCTATTTCACATTGTTGGCTGCTTTGAGTTACAGAGACCATCAGGCCAGAAACCAAATACTTCAAACTTTCTATCAAAATCATAAGATTATTATAAGTTGTTATCAATATGTTCTAAAAATAGCATTTGAAAAGCTTGAATTATGAAACTCAATATGTTTTTCTTTGAATTTTTCTGAACTAGGTAGGCCTACTGAGCAGACAACTTTGTAATATTCTTGAGGCGCGACATGTCTAACATACTGTAACACTGAAACATTTATAATATTTGTTACGTTTGAATGCAACAAAAATTCAATGCTTTTTGTCAAATGTTTTAAGCAGTGGAAACTGTGACACAATAGTTAGCACAAGAAAATGTGTTCTGAACATAGAGTGTCTTGCATTTTAAAGTTTCCACCAATAAGTAACAAGCAAAGACAATCTTACGGTTGGAGCTTCTCCGACATCAGCCACTTCCACCACAAGAGTCTTTGAAGCCTGCAGGTTGTCACTATCTATAGCCACAAGGATGATGGTGTACTTGTTTTGGTTCTCAAAGTTCAATGGTTGAGAAACTACAAGATTTGTAGAACACACAACCTTCCCATTCTGAGGAGACAGAAAGCATATACATCATTTTTAAGTCATCACATTCCTTTTCAAAATCTTAAGCTACTCAAGAGGTTGAATACCCAAAGTAAAGTTTCCCCTGCCTTCTGACATCATATCATTGGCCAACTGTTGAGAAGCACTAAGCTCAAAATTAACGCCAAAAAATGTTTCGCAACTTTTTATTCTGTTGTATAAGTTGCATGTTCTCAAGAAATAACTGTTGAAATTCAAATTCTAAAAGACAAAAAAATATATAACGTAAGTAGAATATATAAAAGAATAAAAGTTTTTTCTCTCGTAAAAAAATCTGCTTTCTAAAAATAGACCAGTTAAACAGCTTGACGACAAAATGGCGAAATCCTGAAAACTCTAGAAATAAACTAAATGGGAAAACAGAACCAAACCGACTTGAAGGAGGAAACAATCTGAACTTACACTCTGCTCACACTCAGGACTCTCTGACACTGCAAAAGTCCCACCTCCATTAACCAAAAGAGAGAATGTCACAGTCTGATCCAAATCACTGTCTTCAGCCTCCACTCTAGCGATGACTTCATCCACGGCAACATCTTCTTTTATGCTCAAGGTCGTCTCTTCCACTTGAACCGTGTCCCCCTGAGCTGTGGCCTTGAGGTTCTGAGGAGCTTCACTCACACCTGTGATACTGATGTAGAAGGTTCCCTCAGCCTGGAAATGGATAATGCTCATGATGCAGACAATCTGTAACAGACTTTATGTCATGTTATGTGTCATATATACAACAAGTATATCAAAAAAAGTTAGCACAATAATGACAATAACAATACAGATAATTTCTATAGCCCCAATACAAAACAGTTCAAGGCACTTTATAATACTTCAATTTACAGTACCAAAGAGGGCATTATCACATTACTTCAAATACATGTATTGTATATTTTGACTTGAGCATACTCTAAAATTGCTGCATATAAAGCTTTCACAACGAAATAAAAGTAGACAGGTGGTTTGAGCCTTCTTTTGCACATTCTATATCTAGAAATGCAAGTACATTTTAAAAAAACAGATTACAGTAAATTCTTTTGTAAGAGCAAACTTTTTTTTATTGGAAGTGGATTTGACACACCTTGAAAAAACTGAAAACATACAAACATTACATTAACAGGCCTTTAGATGAAATCTTCAGGGATAGAAAAAGAAAGGAAAGCCTAAAGGTACTTGGAGGAGGGCCTTAGATTCAGACCGAAAGGAGACGGGACAGCTGGATGGAGGTGGAGGCAACAGCCCAGGACAGAAGTACATGGAGAGATCTTGTTGGTGGCCTATACTCTGCTACAAGGTGAGAAAGGCTGATGATAACGAATCATTTTGGGAAATATTGCTTCAGAATGTACAGGGCATAAACAGAGAAGAAAATTAATTGCTGGAACTTACACTTCTCGACGGTTCCCCATCATCGGTGACAAGAACGGTGACAACGTAAATCTTGCTGATATCCAATCTATCATCAGTGGCTTTCACCAGAGTATCTCCATTGTCAATTCGGAATGCCCCCTCACTGTCATCAAAAATGCTGAAAGTGTGAGACTGTCCTGCGTCCTCATCCTGCACCGACAAACGTCCAATATTTGTTCCAGCAGGTGCTAGTTCTTCAACTTCATCACCTGTAAAGTACCAGAAGAGATCATCATCATCATTATTATCATCTTCATCATCATCATCATCATCATCATCATCATCATCATCATCATCATAACCATCATCATCATCATCATCATCATCATCGTCATCATCACCCTAATGAAGATCATTTCTATAGTGCCCACTCCCATACAATACAGCTCTTTAATTTTCATATTCTTTGAACACAACCTTGATATGATAATGTCAAATGCATTTTATATAGAAGTCCCAATGAGCATTGTTGAGGACTTTTTGATATCTTAAAAGCTATTTTGCTGCATACAACAATCTTCGATGATACATTATCATCTCCTGGATAGAACAGTAGCAAGTCACAGATGTCCCACCCCCTTCCAGCAGATGAACACAATTTATAGTTAGGTGCAGGGAGAAAACACAATGTAGAAGTTACCATTGGCCATGATACTGAATTTTGGAATCAAAATATTCACATAAATGCTGGCAAGTGCTTATGAGTACATTGAATTTATCACTGCCTAAAGTTACCTAAGCCAAGGAACAAAAGACAAAATTTTAATAACTGTCACAACCATTCATTTCTAAGTATACCCAAAAGAAGACCTTACCACTCAATTTAATGTCATGTGGAAGATCATTTTCGTCTGTTACACTGATCTCCAGGTCAAAGGTTGCACTGCCAGGAGGTAAACCATTATCTTTGACAAGGACTTTGATTTGATGGGAACTTTGAGTTTCATAGTCCAGAGAACAAGAGCTTTGGTCATCACTCGAGCACTGGGAAGGGGACACAACCTGGTCAGACAAAAAAGTCAGATTATCTATCATTGTCAATCAATGAAGTAGTCTGGCAAACCGGAACTAAAACAAGACTCAAACTTGGAAGAGATGGACTGAATTAAAAATCTTTAAACAGGCTGCTAATGAGTAATACAGACAATGAGACTTTGCTGCAGTCAAAAAATTTGACTTACATGTTGATTAATATATTATTATTTGTGAGGCTTCTAGGTGAAATCAGGTGCTCGTCAAAATATTAAAATCAAAACAATCAGCATTTCTCGGCCAGTTTGGACATTTTTTCTAATTTTTTTTTTTTGACTCAACATCTTGTATGTCAGTTCAAAAGCACTTTTATGTGTGGATTTTATTAGGGGCACAACAAAATTTAATTTGCCGTTTCCAAAGACTCTTAAGCTATGGAAGTCACCAAACTTTGACGGCCATTTTCTCACTAATTTTTATTCTGAAACCAGGCGACCCCCACCTCCTTCATCGCAAAAATCGTGACTTTCATTTCAGATAAATGGACATTTATTTCCTCGAAGGCAGGGGGCAAATAAATAGCCTTTAAGATGATACCAATAACTCCACAAGCCCGAAAATTGATGAGCGCCTGATTCCGCTACGTCTTGACACATTTATCTATTACATCTGATTGGGAATAAAACGTTGTCGATAAATATCAAAATTAAATAACTTACGCACCACAGCTTTCAACGTTGATGTCATACGACAAGCAATCTGCACCCAGCATTCCATACAAAATATGTAATGATCATTTTCATGTACAACTGATGGCTTCTATAATTATGTCCTGACAGATTTTCAGTTTACTATATGCTACAAATATATCATTCAGAATAAAAACACGACATCAAAGAACTGCAGTCATTAGAAAGCATTGAACACTATCATTAAAATTTGCACACTAAAAATCAGATAGAATTTTTTTTTAAAGCAGCTAGTAGAGAGTCTAAAACAATTTTGTAAGACAAAAAAATTACAAAAGTGCCATAGTTACCATGAGCTTATCTCCCTGGATCTTAAATTTCCCATTAGCGTCATCAAGCAGTGTGAATTCAAAGTCTTCAGTACTATCAGAATCTGTTGCTGTGAAGAATCCCACAACTGTGCTGTCTACACTGTTTTCAGGAACCTGATGGGGTGAACAGATTAGATAATTTCAAAGATATCGGTACATAAAAGGCTGGAAACTGCTGTCTGCTCTTCCCAGAATCTACACCATATGTGCCATCAAACATATTATTGTTGGGGTTTTTTTCACGCGATTGTTGAACAGGTGATTGTCTTGGACAGACGGCTGCTTCAGGTTTATAGATACAAACAGATCATTTTGAAGAATTTCTTGGCCATGTGGTAAAGTAAAGAAGAAAAAAGAAAGAAATATGCATTTTCAATTAGGCATAGACACCACAACACTTTGGGAGCAATAAGTTGAGGGAAAAAAGAAAAACTAATTCACTTTAAGAATTGCAGCAAAGAAAAAGGAATGGCTTCAGCCGTCTCTTTTTGATGGTTCTGATTATAAATCTTGCACAATCTACAATTTGGAGCACTTCTCTATTTGTTTTTCTGTCTGACCATGAGATTCTGAGTTTTCTCCATAAATACCACATTTCAGCAGCTTCCAGTTATCTTTCCAATATACAAAACACCTTTATTCAACACCCTGAAGCATGACAGGAAACACCATACCTCAGTTTGTGACAAAAGCAGCTCTGTAGGTGGCTCATTCACATTCCGCACAAGCACCGTGACAGTTTTCTGAATACTGTAGGATGGAGTTCCATTATCCCAAGCTTCCAGGACAAGATCAACACTGGGGCTGCTTTCATAGTCAAGGGCTTTTGATACCTGAGAGGGAGAGAGACATGAAGATTAGCAATCTGTGGACACTGTAGGCCTACTTATGAACTTATTACAGGAAAGATTTTAAAGAGAATTCAAATGTGAGATTCTTCAAATTAATGTCTGCATGATATTAACTTTTTTACTATTTCGGTTAAAAGAAAATGCCTCTAGTATCTGCTCTAAGCTACACATACTTTTAAATTACATGAACAATCTAAAGTGTGTAAGACACTGAACAAAATGGGAGTATGGAAGGAAAAAATAAGACAAAGAGAGAGAGAGAGAGAGAGAGAGAGAGAGAGAGAGAGAGAGAGAGAGAGAGAGAGAGAGAGAGAGAGGGAAGCCATTCCACACACATGCATTTATGGCTGCACTATGTTTTAAGACATATCTCCCCTTCAATTAATTGTCTTTTTACTCAGTTGTAGTTTTAGTAACCGTTTTACTGTATGTGTAAATCAAACAGGTCAGACAAAATGCTGACGATAAGAGGTTTAACTACATAGTAACATACAAACAAAAGAAGGAAGAGAGATAGGGGATAGATGTTTGATAGGTATAAAGGAGCAAACCACACCAGAAAAAATATCTCTCTCAGCCTTGGTTGACCCTGTTTGTCATGTGTGTACTTCAATAGCTTGGACTTAACTGACCAACTATGTTATAACGCCTCAAGGCCGTAACGTGACCTTCTTGATAAAAAAGGATAACTTGCGTTACTACTCATTCTCACAGAGGTCTTGTGTTTGTTTGTGAGCACGTTTTATAATTATTCGTCAAGCTATAAGCATAGCCAAGAACGTAACACTATTGAAGCCCATCCTCTAAATGATATAAATTGCGTTGATGGGGGCTTAAAAGCAACTACATTTTTTTTTTTTAAACATTGGCTAAAACAAAAAAAGGCCCTGACTCACAGACAAGCGACTGTTGACCAGTTCAAAGCTGTCCCCAGGCTGCTCCAGAATCTTGAAGGAGTGAGTCTGTCCTGCATCCTGGTCCACAGCCGTGAGCAGACTAAGGGAGGCCACCGCGCCCTCCTCTACCTCCAGCTGGCGCTGACTCAAGCCATCCAGGAGAATATCCTAAACTCAGAGAAACAAAAATTTGGAATACAGATTCCGTCTGTCCAAGACAATCACCTGTTCAACAATCACATGTACAAATAGCCACTTCCTACTCTCCCCCTCCCCCTCCCCACCACCCACCCCTTCCAATGTGTTTTTCATTAATAATAAAGACACTGTCAAATACATAAGCCTGTCTAAGACAACCACTTTCCTCCTCAACAGTGGTTGGCTGCCTTGAACAATTTCGAGTGGGTTTTTTGGGGGGGTATCCATTGTTGCCCCCTTTGTTAAAGGGTGGGATCGGGTGGGATCAATCAGCATGTCCTTTCTAACTGTTGCTTGGAAATTCAGAAGACAACTGAGAGTTAAATGAAAGAAAACATCAGTGTTGTGAGAAGTATCAACTAAAGAAGAAAAAGAATGAGGAGGAAGAGAAGGAAGAGAAAAAGAATAAGAGGCGTAGGAGGATGGCAACAGTAACTGCAATGATGATGACAAAATGCAGATGACAATCGTAATGAAAAGCTTATATTTCAGATCTTACCTGTGGTGCATCGTTGACGTCTTCCACCTCGATGTCGATGTAAGTGGTGACCTCTGAACCCTTCCTGTCCACCATTTTGAGGCCAACAGAGTACTTAGATCGCTCCTCATAGTCCAACAGAGCACCCGTGGTCAGCTTGGCAGTAACTGCAGTGCCACCTCCTTCCTGAAAAGTAATGATAATATCAATAATAAAATAATCATCATCATCATCATCATCATCATCATCATCATCACCATCATCATGGTGATGATAATGATAATGATAATGATAATAGTGATAATAGTAATAATAATAATAATAATAATAATAGTAATAGTAGTAATAAGAATAGTAGTATATGTAATAATAATAATAATAAAATGATATTTAATAGTTCACCCGTCAATGTCTGAAGATGACCAAAGTCTTCGTAGAGGAGAGTTTTACAACACTTGCAACACAATAAGCTCATGTAAGTGCCGAAGATCAGAGGTGTTAGGCAGATTTATCAATGTCATGCTCATACTGTGCTGTAACAACATTGGGGAACTGATGCTTTTTCTTTCCTCATCTGTACTATCATCATTTTTCAATTTTTACTCTACTTATTTTGTATGTTTGTCACTCTCATGAACTGGTATTTCCAGGGTGCCTCAATAGTCGAAGCAGACTTTGTGCTATTGAGGCTAGAGAGGTGAGCAGAGTAAGTCTGATTCCCTGTTTGGACTTCTCTGTTGACTTCCACCCCTTAGCGCTCATAAGACCTTAAGCAGTTGCGAGCACTGTAAAACCTTACTAAAACTAAAACAAGAGGTGTTAGGAGAAAGTAACCCACACAAAAAAAGAAAAAGAGGAGATCAGGACAAGCAAGCAGAACCACCCTCACAGAAAAAGAGCAACTTTGCCTCTTGCATGTTTGCTTCCAGCACATTATGTAAGAGTACCCAATACTCACCATAGGCTCAGTCTCAATATCTTTGATGACAAAAACATCCTCAAAGTCAGTCACAGTTATCTCCATCGAGTCCTTGTTGTCAGGGTCCATAAAGCTAAGAATCTCCACGTTTGATCCAATTAAGGTATTTTCCGCCACGGATAAAGCATTAGGGCCCACAAACATTGGGGGCTCGTTTAGGTTGACAACATCAATCTCTAATGTTGTGGAAACCTGGGAAAAAAATTAAGATTTTTTTTTTAAATAAGAGTTTTACGGCACTTGCAACATAATAAGGTCATATGAGTGCTGAAGATTAGAGGTGTTACAAGAGAGTAACAAACACAAAAAAAGAAGGAAGAGAGATCAGGATGATAGATGTTTGATAGGAAAGAATGAGCAACCAAAACCAGAGCACCCGCCAACCACCCACAAAAATTAAGAAATGGTGAATCATCATCATCATTATCATCATCATTATCATCATCATCATCATCATCATCATCATCATCACCATCATCATAATAATAACAATAACAATAATAATAATAATAATAATAATAATAATAATAATAACAATAATAATATCTCCACTAGTCAAGTGCTTTATACACTTTAGAATAGTGTAAAGAACACAAACAATGGTAATAACAGAGAGGCTCAAGAAGCAACATTCAACTATTGGAAAAAAAGCTATGAAAAAGAAGAAAACTATCACTTAATCTATCAGTCAACATGAAAAGACACATCATCATCATCATCATCCGGTGCCTTCCCGACTGGCGTGGGCGATCATGGACCTCCACTTCACTCTGTCTTGCGTTGCAGCAATGGTGTCTGATGTTCTTGCTGATCCTAGCAATGTTGTCATCTTGTCCAGTATCTTTTCCCTTTGTCTGCCTCTACCTCTCTTTCCATCAAACTTGCCTGCTGTTACAATATACTCCAATGCTTCTTCCCACATTGTGTGTCCGAAGAAATTTGCCTGTCGTTTTCTTATATTTGTCATAAGCTGTCTTCTGCAATTTGCTTCAACCAAGACTTCTTCATTTGTTTTTCTAGCTGTCCAAAGGATACGCAGCATGCGTCTTATGAACCACAACTCTGTCGCTACAATTGTTCTTTCCAGCTGTTTATTGATTGTCCATGCTTTGCACCCATATAATAGGATTGACTCGATGTAACTTTTCAGTACTTTTTTTCTCGTTTCCTGTGACAGATTGATGTTTGTGAGTATCTATTTCATTTTGTGGAAGGTTGCTTTTGCTTGGCAAATGCGGCTTTTAATTTTGGTGTGACATGCAAGCCGTAAACAGTACTGACAAACAAAGAATGGTCACTGCCTTGTCTACTTACTGACAATGGAGGTTCCCCGTTGTCTTTCACTTCAACTTGCACAAAGTATTTCTCTTGTTTCTCAAAATCCAGAGGGGCCAGCTGAACTAACTGGTTCTGAGACTGGATACCAAAATGCTCTGTGTGATTGAGCAATGTGAATTCCAAAACTTGACCTTCATCTTCATTTACTGCTAAAAGAATACCTGTGAAGAGAAAAGTAATCCAATTATTGGAATCTGACATAAAATGAGGGTGTGATGTAAAACAAAAAGAGTTGTATGTAAATACAATTGGACATTGGTACCACATAAAAGTTGAGCATGAACTTGAGAACAAAGAGCATGTTGCAAAAAACTAAGCTTTGGAATCAGCATAAAAATTCTGAGATGACAGCAAATTTTTCACAATCCAAAAATTTTTTAAGGGACAAACAAGCAAGTTTCACAATGATAAACACTCAGAAGCTTACAAAAGTAATTAAAACATCACATTTAAGGACTGTCCTGCACTTCCCTATTAGCAATACATGCCTCATTTTGCTTAAACATTTTTTAAAGGAATACCAACTTGTTAATAACAATGACCTTTCTGGTAATGATAAATCTTTTGAAAAAAATCATCATTGAAGTTTATTTAGCTTCTTATATAATTGTTCAGGGTTACCTTGACATAATGAAACCATTAGGTGAAACAAAACTGAATGAATTGGAGTAAGAATTATAGAGAAATGGGATGGATATATGTAGCCATCCTCATTGAGCCTGTTCTTGAATCTAATGATCAGCACATGAATTTGTTGTTGCTGTTCCTCTTTGATTGTTTTCAAGAAGAACACACAAAAGGGGTAAACTAAAGAAAGGTTCAAAATACAGTTGAAATTGTCCAAAATGGCTCCCTATTATCCAGGAGAAAAGTAGTTGTCTTAGACCCGTAGACACCTTGGACATTGTCATTATGTTGTATTAAAAACTGCAAGGGGTAAGTAGGAAGTGGTCATTTGGACAGACAATTGTTTTGGACGTGTGGCCGTTCAAGCAAGTTTGACTATACAACAATCCTTTTGAGGAATATCTATTCTCACAGCACTGTCTCGTAGGATGTAAAAGTGTTTCACATCTATAATACATCAGGAGTGCATGCAAGAATAAGTACTTTACAAATAAAGAAAAACAAAAGAAAATACCACTTTCAGGAGGGGAAAATTGGTTTACAGTGGGAAGTACAATACACTTATAGATCTACAATAATTCATTAACTCCTCAAAATAATATACATAATGTCCCCACAAATATGGACAACCTTACAAACACACCATTGAATAAAACAAATCAACAAATTGTTAGAGCTTTCTCTCAAGGATGCTTCCTCAAACACTCACCAACTAAAGAGTTGCTGATTTTGTTCTCCCTGATTTGACTAGAGCTCAGCGCCACGCTGTGTGGTGGATCGTTCTCGTCAGTTACTTCGATTATTTTTGCCTTGACGAAACTCTGAGGTGGTGAGCCATCATCAGTCACCGTCACGTGAACCAGCACTTCTCTGGAGCCCTCGTAGTCCAGGGTGCATACCTGAAACATACATCTTTATTAGTAGATATTTACTTACTTTTTTTACTTTTACTTTTTCATCCTCTGTTGCAGTTAAGCCTGATAGAGATGGGGAGATGCAGTTTTCTGTGGTAGGCCAGCTCCGCAGCTCTTTCAATTGAGAAATTATGATTTCTCAGTAATCTGTTACTAGATACAGCGTACCAAAATTAGCTTATAAAGATTTTAAAGAAAATTTTATTTGAAATCGAACACAGTTGATATGTTATCTAAAAACAAAACATTATTACTGCTGTATATTCTCACTTTTGTCAAACAGTATGCTCTAAAATTTTTCAAATAGCTTCCTTAAAAATTATGTAAAGTTGAATTGACACACTGCTCTGAAATCATGTTGCAGTTCTCAAAGGATCCTAAACATACCTTGTCATTCTGCTATCATTGTCACTCCAGGTATTTTGGAGAAGAAAAAAAATTAAAAAATAAAGAAATTTGTAATCACCTCTCCGCCACAAATCTGGTTTGAATCCTTGACATATAGCTTGTCCTCATCGATGTAAAATCTTCCCATTCCGTCATCAGTCAGCTCATACGTAAACGACTGACGGTGGTCCCCCGTGTGATCAGCATCCACAGCTGAGAGAGTTGCCACTAACGTGCCTTCCTTGCTGTTTTCCTTCACCTGACAACATGGAGGTAAACAGGTTATGAATGAGTTAAGCTATTAATTTAGGTAAAAAAAAAAAAAAAACATTTTTTAACCCAATGACATCAGGGAATGAAACGTATGCAAACATAGTTTTAGAGAAAAGTACTGTATGCAATTTCATTCAATATGATGAAGATTGAACTCAGTTTCACACAATAAAACAGCTATGGTCAATTCAAAGGCATTCAGTTAACAGAATCTGCAAAGGCCTAAGCGTAAAAAATCACAACTGATTCTTTTCTCCCATGGCGTTTATGTTAATCAGGAACTTATTTCTTATAAAGTCAAACATTCACAATAAAGATCCTACTTGAATCTGAAAAATGAAAATATAACATATACGGCTAGCCGTACTTAATGAGTCTAGCCGTACTTAACCGTACTTATTCTTAATATGATGGCTAGACTGACCATTTTTTTAAAAAATAGGCCTACTGAATTGTAAATATAAATTTTTAGTGTGCAGTACCTAAAGTATTTGTATTTGAGACGAAACCAGGTGCCTTAATGACAGTGCATGTATTTTAAACCTCCTGTTTTCTAATGTTAATAGGGCCTGAGATAAGTACAGCTAGACTGGCAGTCTAGCCGTACTTAAATACGCCTAGACTTCTTGGCTAGCCGTACCTAGACAGCCAGGCTAGCCGTACTTAAGGACGACTAGACTGTCAAGCTAACTGTGCTTAATATTGATGGCTGAATTGTAAATGAAATTTTTAGTTTGCAATGCCTAAAGTTTTTGTATTTCAGACAAAACCAAAAGGTGCCTCGGCTAGCCACTTCGTTCTTTTTAAAACAAAAGTTAGTCTTTAAACTCTAAGAATTGTCAGACCCAATCATCTATTTAGACAAATTGTACCTTCTTTATAATAGCTCTGATCTTCAGAGACTTTTTATCTCTTTTCATGTTATTTCAATAACAAAACAAACCCATCAATGGAAGTGCCTAACCTACATCTGAACCATAAATGTTTAAAGCAAGTTGAGTTCCATTAATTTATACCTCATCCATAATATGTTACCAATAGTATGATTTACAGTTTTCCATGAGTTAACATTTTTTGTGGAACATAATACAGTTTTCCATGAGTTAACATTTTTTGTGGAACATAATAGGATGTAATAGCGACTCGGAACGAAACAGAACAGACGAGGACAGTAATAATAATAATAATAATAATAATAATAATAATAATAATAATAATAATAATAATAATAGTAGTAGTAGTAGTAGCAATAATAATAATAATAATAATAATAATAATAATAATAATAATAATAATAATAATAATAATAATAATAATAATAATAATAACAATAATAATAATAATATTAATAATAATAATAGTAATAGTAATAATAGTAATAATAATAATAATAGACTGCATGTATATATAGCACTCTATCCTATCCATAGAAAGACCACAAAAAACAACCCACTGGCATTGCTTACCTTTGTTTCGGAGAATACAACATCTGTTGGGGGTTCGTTGACATCCGTCACAATTATGTTAAATGTTTTTGCAAACGTCATCTCCGTTTCGCCTTCATCTACAGCAGTTATTGTCAGTGTGATTGGTTTAAAGTTTTCATAGTCTAATTTGGCAACATCAGCAGTCTGGAAAAGAAAAACATTTTTTTAAAAAAGAAATGACTTCTTCCCCTGGATAGAGCAGAAAAACATTCAAACTCTCTTGTTCCCTTTGTTTCATTTCAAAAGTATTAAAATGAAGCTGTATACAAGAAACTGAATGGAACTATTTTACTACAGGTTTGACTGTAAGCTACGTTTTCCAAAGACCTTAAAGAAAGCAGATTCCTCTTTTCCTTCATGGACCAGGCATTTCTGCTCAAGTGTCTGGTCAAGAACTGACAAAGCTTATGAGCTCTCGTAAATGATCCGCAGTGTTAAGTACAAAAAGAAACCAGCAGGAAGAGTTCATTTGGCCAGAAAACTGTGGTACCAACATTGATATATGTCACTCTAAGCTGATGTGTTGTTAATGGATGCTGGAGGTTTGTACACATAAACCTAATAGGAGAAACGAGTAGTTTGTCTTTTAGAAAACACAAGCAGAGACAGAGCAGGTACTAATACAACTCCAGCGAATCTAAACTCCAAATCGCAAACTGCTTATACTGCTCATAAAAATTAGAAAATGCCCTTTCACTGTTGTCACTTTTTAAAAATCAATTTTTATCCATAAGCCATCTATATATTCAAAATCTGACAATTACATAATTCCTACTTTCATGGTTTTAAGCCTTTGACAAACTAAAAAATGAAATGAACAATGTATCAAGCTGAAAAATATACTATGACAGTATTGAAAATAATTTATATATGAAATAAACCACACTCATTAATTATGAAGTATTGCGAATAACTGGAATGCATCTATTATCTATTTGTGACTGTTTTCTTCATTTAATTTGACTTTAGAATGAAAGGCGAGAGGTCATTAAAATTTTTTTAAACCCTAAAACTCTGCACTGAACAAACCCGAACAGCAAATGAACAGCAGTCGATCTGCACACGCAAGAGATTGCTATTCCTATTCTTCTTCTGGAAAAATGAAAGAGAGCTTCAAAACAGACTGCAGCACCACCTGAAGCAAAGAGCGAACTTCCGGCGGACACTTTTTTGGCTGAGTGGCCCATCTTGTTATGTACTATCTTTGATTCGACTGTGATCCTTTCGTTTGATGCCCATCATCGCTTTTCTGGACTCCTTTCTCTATTATATATTTGGCAACTTGGAAACACATGTGTCACTTTTATCTCAAGATTTATTGCTCCATTCCAGTAGAGTGTAACTATAGTAGGCCAATTACTTTCAGTTGATGTTAATGCACCGATCATTCCTTTCATTGAAAGGGGGCCCAGCTTGTAATTACTATATAATCAAGAACATGGCAGTCAAAGCTTTAGCTTTCAAAGACAAATCTAGTATCATACCAGGAGAGAGTTGTCTTCTATGTGGAACAGATTGGATGCTGGACCAGACAGAAAAAACGTATGCTCATCATTCTCATCCTCATCAGCTGCAGAAATGCCAGCCACGACTATGCCATTTGCGTTTTCTTCCACGTAGATTGTATCTGTGTTATTTCCATCTATCAGTATGTTCTGGAAAAGATTACACAACAGCATTTAGTGTTTGGTCATTCAACCTCCTATTTAGCACTCATTATGACATTTCAAAAGTAGGCTATATATATATATAGTACAAGAATGTCCAACGATGAAGCAACACTTTTTCCTTGCCGTTATATCATTAAACTTTAAACAGGCAGAAAGGAGGTGAAATGAAATTGAAAGAAAGAGAGAAAGAAAAATGTTAGAAGCTTCAAGGAAACATACAAGCAAAGTTGAAATATCTAAATGGTTGATACAAGTAATAAAACTAATTTTAAAAGAAGAGGATCGGGTGATTTTGAATGAGAAAGTATCACCTGTAACTAACTTCAAAACTTAAACCAGACACTGGGAGAAGTATAGGCTTATAGATCTATATAAACCTTTTATAAAACTAGTATAGAACCTTCATTATTCATTATTCATTGACAAAAAACAAAAATGTGTTCAGAACAATAATAAAACATGCATGTCATTATCATAATCAGACGTATTAATTCCACATCTTCTTTAATTAAATGTTCTCCAAAAACTCTAACATGTCAAAAGGCTAATCTAAGAGACAAAATCTTTTCAAAATCTTTATATTAAGTACACTAGAGGTTCAGCAATACAAATTATCATGGCATAAATCAACATGACATTACTTCGATTAAATTACACATCTTACCGTTGGTGGGTCATCCATGTCTATCACTTCTACCTCCACATCTAGCTCAATATAGTGGTTGAACATATCATGAGCTTTAATATTCAGCTCAACCAATGGAGCCTCTTCATAATTAAATCCTTTAAAATACTCGAGCTGGCCACTACAATAGTTGATATAGTTGCCCTGAAATACAGACATGAGGGAAAACAATTCAGAATCACACAGAAAACAAAGGTAATTTGTGAGGCATCGTGGCGAAATCAGGCGCTCGTCAAAATAATGAAATCGAAGAAACTGGCACTTTTCTGTCCGTTTGACAATTTTTATCGAATTTTTGTTTTTTGACTCAACACCTTTAAGGTCCATTTAAAAACACATTTCTGAGTGGATTTTACTGAAGAATGATAATTAAAGACACAAAAATGTAAATTTATAGTTTCTTAGGACTCTCAAGCTTTGAAAGTCGCCAAACTTTGGAGGACATTTTCTCGCTAATTTTACCTCTGAAACCAGGCGACCCCCCCCCACTTCTTTCCATCGAAAATAACTCGACTTCTATTCATTATAGATGAGTATTTTTTTCACCAAAAGCAAGACATATGAACAAGCTTTAAAATGATACCACCATATGTCAAAAAACTGACCAGCCCCTAATTCCACCCCATCGTGACACATTTATGTTTTTCTGTCTTCACGAAGCTACCTTATTCCATTCAAGATCAGACACAAAGATAAGACACTTTACAGACCCTCATCATCATTTATTTTGAAAGGTCTTTGAGTTTTCTTCCTTGACTATGTTAAAACATCTTTACTGTGTATTTCACAGCATATGCTGTATCACACGACAACAACTAGGGTGAACCTGCATTTATCATGAGATAACACTGGATTGAAAGAAGAATGCCAGAATATTCTTGTATATAAAATGACAACAATTATAATAACATTAGGTGCTGTAAAAATTAACCTTATTTTCATCATTACCTTTTTACCATGAAAAAAAAACCCCAGGGTAACAGTGAGTGACAGAACTTAATTTGTGGTGGTCTTTTCAGTCATTTAGCCTGTCTTTGACAACAAAATTTGATCCACAACTAAATACATTTCTAGTAACTATTTTGGTAACTCAGCTCTGTCGATATAAAGGGGAAAAATAACTAATTATAAGATAAGATAACATAACATAGATAATAATATATGGTTTATATTTTCCTCATGCGAAAAGCATTAATTTGATTAATTTAAAAAACGCTAATCTGTTCTACCCTGTTTCTCTTTTTCGTTGCTATTATTGCTTGCCTCCTTGTGTGGTTGTTGCTTTTCTTCTTTTTTTTTTTTTTGGAGGCACTCTATGACCATCATCACCCTGATTTACTTCTCTTCAGCTGCATTTAGTAAATTCCAGTGTCTCTGCTTGAGTCCAGGAATAAGAAAAAGAGAGTTAAGTTTCCAACAATAATGTTTTTATTGAAATCTACTTTCTCTACAATGTGAACAAAGAGTGATACAGGAGTGTGTGTGTGTGTGTGAGAGAGAGAGAGGGGAGAGAGAGGGGGGGGGGAGAGAGAGAGGGGGAGAGAGAGAGAGAGAGAGAGAGAGAGAGAGAGAGAGAGAGAGAGAGAGAGAGAGAGAGAGAGAGAAGGGTGGGTGAGGGATGAGAAAGTTGGAAGAAATGAAGAGAGAAAGAAAAACACAGACAGACAGACAGACAGACAGACAGACAGACAGACAGACAGACAGACAGACAGACAGACAGACAGACAGACAGACAGACAGACAGACAGACAGACAGACAGACAGACAACCATACTAATTTTTCCTCTAGAAATGGAAGAAATCTCTCACGCTCAAATTCTCAAAAGCAAAAATGCCTCACATAGCAATCATCTGTCCCAGGACTTACCAGTACAGTGGAGCATTTGAAGTTGAGGATTCCAAAATTGTCATCACTCAGTTCAATATTGATTACATCTCTGATATCTGGGTCATACACAGAAATAGTACCGACCACCACCGCTGCAACATAAAGAAATTAAGATTTTCATTTTTATAGCTAGTTTACTTAGAACGAGAGGAAATGAAGCTTTTAAACACTGAAAATATGGCAACGGCTTCTCTACCAGAACAGGTCTTATTAGCCTTAGAAGAAGCCACAAGTCATCTTGACCCATCTTTCTTCTGCTTCGTTAAAGAAAGATTCTTCTCTGCAGATACATTGATCATCATCAAGCCGACATTGACTGACAAACTATTATTATTACAATAATAAACTGAAAGTGGGTGTTTAGTATCAAGACGACTTCAAGCACAAGAATGGGGGTAGAGGCAGTGACAAAAGCATTTGGATGACTAAAAGAGAGCTTGCGTTCTGCTAGACATGCTGTCATTGTCACTGACTCTCAAAACATATTGCAGAGAGTCAATAAGTGGAAACTGAGAAAAGAGTGGCTGCAAAGCATAGAAGAAACCAGACTGAGAAGAATAATGTGGATCTATGCTCGGAGCCACACGGGTGTGGTGGGAAATGAACAAACAGACAAACTGGCGAGCCATGCACCAGTCAATACTGACATTAAAATGGGCAAAAATGACGTTGTGAAGGCCCTTGCTACCACACTTGAAGATAAGGAGATTGAGTATGACTATGCGCCAATCTAACAACTTGAAGAATTGGGTGTCTTCAGAGGAAGCGGTAGAACCAGTATGTTCAGGGGATGTAAGACGGGTTATTAACCAAATAAACACTGGAACGATCAGCAGATGGACTCTGGGGTGGATATTGAAGCGGCGAGCGGAGCACGTATGGCAATATCCGGAGTGCTATGATGTTGTTCCCAGGATCAAGTGATCAAGTATCAATTATTAGTTCTTTTCTTGTAGGCACTGCAATTGTCCCTTCATGACACCTGTTGGCCTCACTAGCCATAGGTGCAAACACCACAGGGCAGAGGAAGCAGCCCAGTACAGCACAAACTCTACTGTCCATAGAGATGAAACTACATCTCGAAAGAAATAAACATCTTTGGACTATTAAAACAGTTCACTAAGCATAGAATCACAGACTTCAGGAAAGGAAGCATTTGACCAAAAATATCTTTAAAAAATTAGAAACCATGTAACCATGCATTGGACTATATTAGCAGTGTCATTCATTAAAAAAGATATTTTTTAAGGCTGAAATTTGAAGGCCCTCTGGACATAGAAAAAACTTTGTGACAAGTTTGAAAGAGAAACAAAAGACACTCCATTTTCAAACCAAACATCCACTGGGCTTGGGAACATAACGTTTAATGCCTTATATCAAACAAAAAGATAAAGACTGGAGTCAGTCTTACAATCCTGCATTCAGATACGTGAGGCCAGTCTTTTTAAATCTGTTTTATTCTAACAGCTTGGAGCGAAAAATTGTCACTCTGAAGGGGGAGGGGGGGGAATAAATAGCAAAATGAGTAGCAAAGTAGAGAAACCAAATAGGGATCAGCTGACTGATTGAAACTATTTTGACATACCATAAGGAAAAAGTAATGGATCAATCAAAGAATAGCAGTCACTGTCATTAATGATAATAATAAATAGCATTTATGCTGCGTATTTCCATTTTCTAAAAAAAAAGCTCAATGCGTATTACATTAATTTAAAAAATATCATTACTTACATGGCATGTTCTCTCTGACTTTGGGCTTGTTGAGGTGGTATGAAAGTAGTGAATTTGAGGAGGAAAGCATGAGCTGGTAAGGATATTCGTTGACATCTTTAATCCCGAATGTCACAGTTTCTTCAGCCTATTGAAACAGTGTAAACAAAATACAACATCAGAAAATGAGTCCCTTCTCGTGTTTTGACAAATCATCAAAAATGTACTATCAAACAAAACACAGAAATATATTATCAGACAAAACATGGAAATATACTAAAAAACAAAACATGGAAATATACTATCAAACAAAACATAACACAAAAGTTCTGCCAGTCCCTACTACATGCAATATTCTACACTGCAGCAAAGAACAAATCTTAAAGACCTCCATCTTTTTCAACATGGCATTGGGTCGAAGGGCATATTCTCAAAGGCTACTGGATTAACAACAACAACTTTACAAAATGTTTGCAAGAAAAGAAAAAGAAAAGAAGGCTTACAGTCAAGAAATTTTAATGAAGAGACTGAAGTCTTCTTCTATCCTTTTTATGAGACCATAAAAGGCACTGGGAATTGCTGAACAAAAAGTCTACACTGTGAAAAAAAAAGAAAGTACAAGCGGCATGTGTCAAAAGTCATTGCTTAACCTGAGACTGCGGGGGGCCTGTGTCAGTGGCTTTGATCTTGAGGGAGTACAACGCGTTTGGGTGCGTCTCAAAATCAAGCTCGACTGACGCAATCAAGAAGTTGCCATCAATGCCGAACAAACCAGAAGGATCCTCCAGAATTTCAAACGTATGTACGTCATCAACGTCTTCATCTTCAGCAACCAACTCCACAAGATGTTCACCTGGAAATAGACATAAATTTTAAAAAGCAAGAAGACTGGTCTAACAACTAAAGTAATAAGCAGACACAGCTTAAGAAGTGAGAATGTCGAGCGTGAAACTGACAGAACCCTTCAAAGTCTTTGAAAGGAAGACAGACGAACAAATATTACAAATATCTGATGAGCTGGAGTCTCTTCTATATATGTTTAACGCCTCTATCAAGGTCTCTTCTATGAGATCAGAGAAAAACACATTAAAACATAATGATCATAATACAGCTTGGGTAAAACAGAAACAGAAACAATTGGGAGATAGTAAAGAAACAGGGCCCACCAGTGATGCCCTCCAATCTGAACACCCATTACGCATCTACATTACATTCTCTCAAAAGCAAAGAAGAAAAGGGCCATTGCTAAAGAGAATTAAATTTTGGCAAAGAAATTCCAGTGTTGATCATAGGAGCATGACCATTTATGAGTGGCTAGCTGACAATGTAAAAATTCAGATCACTTGTCCAGAAAAAAAAAATTATTGAAAGGCCAGTTACAAATTTCTCTTCAACGTCCCTTTGAAAATAAGGAAAGCACATTGCTAGCAGTTTTTTACAATGTTTTGGTCAGCTTTCCTCACATCTACATCTCAGAAGTGATGGATCAGACACATCTTTTTGTGGATAGTATCCATTCAACAAATTACAAACCTCAGTTCTCAAATATCACTTGGCAAAGTGACTTTGAAAAAAAACGTTTTTTTAAATAATAAAGTTGAAATGAAAAAGCATTTTCTCATTACCCGCTTTAATGTTTTCCGGAACATTCTCTGGCTCTAAAGTAACTCCTGTGATGAGCTCATTGGTATCTGTGATCTTGACTGCTATGTCAAAGTACTTGGACAAAGGAGGGTTGGCGTCATCTTGGACCATGACAGCAATGTAGATCTCCTCTGACTCTTCGTGATTCAGAGCGCACCGATTACCTCCGAGTTCAGCGCAGTCCTCCTCTGAATCAGCCGCTACCTGAATAAAAAAGTTGATTTTTTTGTCAGGCTGTTCAAAGGAATATTAGCTCAAAATATTACCAAAAAAACAACAATATATCTATAGAAGTAGAAGAGAAATAAATTAATTATATTTCATTAAGAAGAGCAGACCAAAAATCAGGTTCATTTTTCTTTAGTATTGATTGAAGTTATAAACCCTGTTAGACATAACTATTAAAAAGAGAGCGAAACAAAGCATTATGGAATTAAGAAGAGCAGACCAATAAACTAGTTTTGGGTCTGTTTTATTTTAATATATTTTTTTATACATGGATGTTATTATGCCCTACAAGACACATCTGGGACACATCAAAGGTAGAGAATTTAGTGCCATCATTATGTAGAGCCTAACCATACTGAAAGTAGAAAATTTTTTAAAAAATTAAATAGATGTGATAATCAAAAGTCAGCTATCTAGCAGACTGACCCTGTGCAAACAAAACAGCTAGTGTTTTTATAAAATCATGTTCATACTCATAAAGTTGAACTTACAAAAAATATATCATAAACCATGTGGTATTCATGCTCACATTGATGCGACTGTGCCATCTTTCTCCCACACCCCCACCCTTTTCCCTTTCACCAAACTCACAATCACAGAGATACACACCCGTCCACAAGCACAAAGGCTCTCTCTCTCTCTCTCTCTCTCTCTCTC